GAATTAACTGAGCCATTTGTCCGTGTTTACAAAGCCTTACTATCTAAATATTCGAGAAGTTGAAAGAAATATCGAAAGTTGTGCAATTCCTTGAGAGCGTTAAAGCCATTTGCTTACTTTTCCAAATTGCTCTCGTGTTTAGATGACTAATTAACACGGGAAGAGTTTCCTTATCCCATCGAGGCAACAAATGACATTAATTATGAAACGTTTGCCTTGACACTTTGAAAATGCAAAACATTTCTTGATAGAGAACATGTTGACGTCTACAAATGACGAATTTGGAAAGCATTTCAGGTCTGTGGACGTACGCCCTATTCCCATAATGAATCATATTGACTGGATTACTCTGCTAAATTATTGGGAAGCCATAAAGACTGTATTTAAACCTTCTATACTAACCTTTCCGCTCATATTTGTATACTTTACCGTTAGAGCCATAATTTCCTTAATATTTGTTGTCAATATTGTCGTCGAAAAGTAACCAAGATCTGAACGACGACAGCTGGAGTATACGATATTTTGAATTGACTGCTGTGCGGCAAAATTTCGGTTTCGAGAAGAGATCGAATGACGTACCTTTAATGCGAAGACACAACGGAGGGATAGCGTCTCACTGTGACAATCCTTCGATAATCTAAATTGAATGCCCTCGTATAACGCTTTAAGGCAGAGTTTCTGTGACGATTTTTCTCGTCTTTCCTCCCTGAAATTAAAAATTCAGACTTAATTGAATATTAAACACTTTACGTGTTTAAGAACCATTTTAGATTTTGCATTTAGCAAATAGCGTACACAGCTGTAGGGACTTTCAAATGCAAATAATTAGTGTAATATCGTAGAAAATTTGCCTTTTTCAACATGTCTGACTCAGCATCAAAAATTAAACCCCTAAATTAGAACTTTTCACCGGGAAAACTCGCGCAAAATTTATGTCTTAGGTTTAATGAACAAAGCTTCATTACGTTATCTTTTTTACATGCACCGAAAACGCTTGTTTTGTCAGGCTTAATTATACTCAAATATTGTTCAAGTAAAATCTTTTCTTGAGATATTTCTATTATCATTTCCTCTTTTATGTGGAATAACGATTAGCTCTTTGCCCAGGAAACATTATCTCAAAGTAATGTCGCAACTTCCGCACATTCGTTGCACTTTAATTTCAATATTTTTTTCTGATGTCTGCGCGTCTTAATTCGTTTATGAGTGCTGACAGAACATAATACAATTTACAAGAACCTGAGGGGCCATTCATTATTTATCGCCTGGGGAGGTATATTTTTATTTTTATTTCATTCTATTTATTATAGTAAA